GTATAGCTGCGCAAATATGTTGCATGAATGGCAAGCCATTTGATGTATGGAAAGCTGAAGATTTTAAGTAGCAGTGGGCAGCATGCTAAGATTTGTTCCATATTCTTTTTTTTTTGAATCTCAGCATTAGCTCACAAGCTTTTGCTTTCCGATTGCCATTATATTAGGCACCACACATATCGCTTTATTCGCTTTTTGCAGTTTTAAAAGATGCTTTTTCAAAGAGCGTTTTGTTCTGTCACTTCAACTTTGTTATTTTATTTGTTTTAGTGTTTAGCAATAATAATTTTTCAATTTGTAAATAAATTTTTCTACTATTTACACCTCTGGAAAATACAGAATCAGTGCTGTGTGCAGCGAAGTAACAAAAACCGGTTTTTCAGGGGTGCTTTATAACTTCTTGAGGTTGAAAAATGTTTCGAGAGTTTAATCCTGTAAGGTGATGCCGCGCAATTCAGGTGATCTAAGAACAACGCTGGTTAAATCCAGAGCTTGTGACAGCGGCTGGCGTTGTAGCCTAACGCAATAGCAGAAATGATTCCTGCGCTGTAGCTTAACACTTGAGCTCATAGAGGCCGCGCCATGGCCTCTTTCGGCATGCAGGTGGAAGGGCGTCGGTTGGGATGACGGTGCTGCATTATAGGGCTGCATGAACCTCAAATTTTTACATGAAACCTGGTCGTTTCTTCATGAAACCTGGTCATTTTTACATGAAAACTTGCTTTTCAAAAAAAATGGAAATTTTCATTTCGCTGAAAAGTGTTGATGTTGCTAGGGCGGTCGTTCGTCAAAAAAACAAGTATGCAAATGAAGTGAGTGTTCATTTATATATCTGGGTAAGAGCGGTTGTCCATTGCAAAACGCACTTCTTTCTGATTTTTCAGTAAAGTTTAGTATTTCTCGTGAGTACCTGCAGGGAATTTCATTTCTAAGCAGGATTAAGACCGCTCTTGAAAGTAGTATATCCTAGCGAAGTTTCAGTCTCGCGCCTTACCCGGGAAGTGAAGCAGCTACTTTGCTACAAATATCTTTGAAGTGCTCTAAATCGTGGCGCAAGCGCAATTCGGTATTCATTTTAGGTATGCGAGTTCCCACATGGGTGAAAAACGAGCTGACAAAGTTTCAGCCACTGTTTTCCGGCAAGTTTTCGAGCTAGCACAGTACCAAATTTTAAACTTCGACGTGATTGTACGTGCTACAAGCGTGCTCAACAGCTGAATTTGAAATCTTTAGCTCGCACACGCATAAAAAATATCCCTGCAAACTTTCAGCCTTGTACCTTGCTTAATTCGTG